AATGTGGTCCAGGCTTTTAAGGCTCCGGTACCCCATCAGGTTTCATATAAGAGGCTTTATGCCGGTTCGCTTTTAAATATGTCTCAGACTAGGTAGTGATCGTTCTTTTATTATTTTGTTTTGCTTTCGGCGGAACCCCCCGCCCCCCCCCCCCCCGTAGAGAAGTTATGGGCTGATTTTGGCACCTGCTTCAGTCGATCGGACGAACTACGGGGGCCGGCGCCCCCCCCACCCCCCCGTAGAAACTCGAATCGTTGATGTGTGCAACTGTGCGAATTTTTTCCTGCTATTCTTCTGGAACCATAACGAAAGGGCTCAGGGGCGCCGGACCCGATCGCCAAAAAGCATGCCTCCGGTTGGGCCCTCCCCTGTTCTGCCACCGACGGCCTTGTGGAATCATGAATATGTGATCCATAGTAATCCTGGCACAGCCCCGCACAATCACGCATAGCCTTGGCGCAGCCCCGCGCAGCCTGTGCGCGATTCCCGCCTCATGAGGCTCAAATTTTGAATTTTAAGCTATGTTGAAAATTTCAAGATGATTCAATCGGAGGTATTGGCTACGCGATGAGAGCCGGACCCCCCCCCCTTGCGCCAAATGACGAAACCCAGAATACATAAACGCTCACGTATCGAGATGAAATTAAAGTGAAAGCGCACGTGTCTGACACGGGCGACCTCTCGCCAGAGCAATTGTTTTATAAGACTGGGAACGACGCTGCCGATGCTGCGGCAAAGCGCGGTGCCTGGTCCCACCCGATGGCCCATGCAGCTGAACTGGTCGAGATTGACCGCCGTGTGCTCATCGCTCGCAAGGTGTGCGCCATGGCGGCTCAACTTCTTCCTCTTTGGCCCCGCCTGAGCCTCGACGGGGTGCCGAGAGCCACAGGCGAGAGCCGCCAGCCAGCAGATGTGCTTGTGCAGTTGCATGAATGGTCATGGTGCCGCTCCTTTTGGAGATGCCAGCGCTGTCTGAAATTCCGCCGCTCGGATCAGAAGCCTCAGAGTGCCAGATGTTTTGGTGTCCTGCCCGAGGCCGCCCGCGAGATCGGGCAAATGCAACACCAATTGGAAGTTTTTGATTGCAGCGACGGCACTCTGTTATATGCCTGTGAGAAATGCAAGGCGTATTCCACTGGCGGTCAGTTCGGAAACCTTCGTAAGAAGTGTTTGGACAGGCCTGCCAGCAATTTCGGGATTTCGACCTGGTCCGGCCTTTTCAAGGGAAGGCACCCCAAGTTTCCCCAGGTCCAGGTCGAGCCTTTTTCTCTGTCGGTGTGAGTTGGCAGGAGCATCGCTGATAAAAAAAATCCTCCTCCTCCTCCTCCTCCTCCTCCTCCTCCTCCTCCTCCTCCTCCTCCTCCCCCTCCTCCTCCTCCTCCTCCTCATTCTGCCCCGAGGGGGCCCCTCCCGTAGGGGAGGGGTCGGGACCCCAGGGTCCTCCTGGCGCAGGCGGGGAGCGCCGGGCCCGAGGGGCGAAAATCCCCCGCACCCCGGGGGACGCCGCCAAAGTGCGGTTTCCTTCCCCCGGGGGGGTCGCCAGGCCCCGTGTGCTTCCCCAGGGCGGTGCTGGGTCCCCCCCAGCACTCGCCGCTCTGGGGCGGGGCTGGCGGCTCGTCTCCGTCGTGTCGCTCGTCCGTCTCGTGTCGTTCGTGTCGCGTCGTTCGTTTCGTCCCCCTGTCGTGTCGTGTCGTGTCGTGGTCCCGGGGCCGTAAAACGCGGCCACCCATGGAGTGGGTGGTGGGTAGGGTTGGCGTTGAGCACGGCTCGCGCCCCCTACCCCGACCAGGGAGCGCGGAGCACGGTCTCCCAGCGCTCCCTGGTCGCGCTTAGGTCGCGCCACGGGGGCATGGCCCCGACCGTGGCGCGACCTGCGCCGTTTTTTTTGTTGGCGCCTCTCGCTGGCACTCGCCACGCCAGCGGAGTCATGTGGCTGATCATGGGTTGACCCCAAAAAAAATCCTCCTCCTCATTCTCCTCCTCCTTCTCCCCCTCCTCCTCCTTCCCCTCCTCTTCCTCCTCATCCTCCTCTTCCTCCTCCTCCTCCTTCTCCTGCCCCTCTCTTCTGCTCTGTTCCCCCGCCTCCCCCCCTTCGTCACCCGCAGATCGTCGGCCGAGTTTCTGAAACCTGTGTTTGCAGCAGGCGCACCTTTGGGCCGGGACTGCTGACAGGCAATGGCCTGCTCCAGCTGCCTGTCGCGCTGCCCGACGTGCCACACTGGTAGTTTTTTGCACCGGTACCGTGGTTTATCTGCGCTGGTTCCACTTACGCTCAGGACGAACAAAAAATTGAGATGGTTCCAAGATAGCTCCAAAGTGGGCCATCCGGTCTCAGGACGGCTTCCGAGAGCTTAGCTTTCAGACGGCTCAAGATGAGCGCAAGATTGCCCGAGGAGCCCCAAATCAAGAGAGCAGAAGAGAGCCCCAAGAGGGCCCCACAGGGCTCCAAGGAACAGCATTCATCGATGCTCCGTAAATCTCAAAGAAGCATCCAAGAGTAAAACACATGAAGAAAAACAAGAAACATCCATGAGTGCCCCCCCCAAAACACCTAGTCGGCTCCAAGAGGGTCCCGAATGGCGCCGTATAAGGCCACCAGACGCCCGCAAGAGGCCTCCAGCATGACCCAACAAGCATGCCAACAAATCCCGAGAAGCATCCAAAAGGCTTCTGGCGAACGATCCAGACACGGTTTGGGAAGGCCCGGAGGCTGTTCGATAACCACATGGGTGCGACAAAAAGATGGCGCGAGGGAGATGTGATCCTCTAGTAAGGCAGGGGATCCGACGACATTTTGTTATAAGCTTCGTGTTCCTCCAAAGGAACCTCTTCATTCTTAGGAGAACGCCCCTCCTCGCCCACCCCCCCGTTGCGCTTAAGTGGCCCACGGGCCACCGACTCGAAAAACTGCGTCGTTTGTTCGCGCTAATGGTGCCAGAGTAAGGACCCCCCCGTCGTATATCCAGGTGCCTGCGGCAAGTCCCACCACGATGCCAGCCCGGTAATTTTGGAGACAACTGTCCAAGGAGCCGAAGGAGGCCGTAACATGTAAATCGAGCGATTGCTGGAGTGAGGGGTCAGATCGCCGTCCCATGTCACACCTCGTCCGTCCTGAGTTTATGTTGTATCGTCTGAGGTCACCATGGGTCGGAGTGAGGAGATGAGATGATGATGCGGAGGGGAAGGATGGGGAGGAACATAAGGATGAGGATGAGGGCAATCATTGTGGACGAGTGCGTTGTGGAACAGCTTGATGGTTATGATTTTTAGGAGGAGCTCAGTTGGGGCCGTCTTGGAGCTGTCCCAGGCTCTTGCGGGCCTGTCTCTGGCTCCCTTGGGGCCCTCGAGTTGGGGCGCTCTTGGGCCGATGTCGAGCGTAATGTGAGTCTGGGATTTCTGTTGGATCCCACTTGGGCCGTCAGCAGGCTCTGTAAGACCGCCGTTGGTCCATCCGCATGCTTTTGGACAGTTTGGGCATCACTTTGGGCTGTCTTGGGCCGTCCTGAGGCCATTTTTGAGGACTGTTATGCCATTCGGGGGCCTTATGGGCTGCATTGAAGGCATAGGGCATATTTGAAGTCTGTAGGGCCCCTAGAGCTGCAGGAAGCCCGACAAGGTAGAGGCGCCACCATTTTTCAAAACTTGCCGGATATTCATCACGATGTTGCCCTCTTCGGGCCCTGGGCCCTATTGGGGATCCTCTCGTGGCCCTGTTGGTTTGTCTTGGGGGCCGTCTTGGTGCATCTTAGGGCATCTTGGGTTTCTTGCCGCGGCCGTCTTGGAAGCTTGGGGGCGCAGATCCACCGTCTCTACGGACGGAGCGCGGTAGGGAATGGTGGCCTAGAGAGCGCGCGTCCGTCGCTTTGAGCAACGGATCGTGGCCTCGGGATCGTGGCCTCGAGAGGCCCTCCGTTTTGTCTTTGGAACCAGGATCGTGGCCTCGAGAGCACGGGCCCATGTATTTTTTTGAAGGAGAGGGGGAGGTCGGAGAGGCCGTGCACGCGGAGCTCCGCGTCGAGAGGAGGGAGGGCCTAGAGAAGGTTTGCGAACATCTGCCAGGCAGCACTCGGCGTCCTGGCGCGCCACAACGTGCCAGGGGGCACTGTGGCGTTTCCTCGAGTTGGGCCCCAAAGATGTTCTGTCCCGTCCAAAGTTCATCAAAGTCGGGGATTGTGTCCGCTGTACCCCTTGTAAAGGAGGGGGGGGTATGTCAGCAGGGCAAGAACATGTTCATCTTTCCAGAACGTTCCAGAACGCACTCAGAGCGTCCCGAAGCGCGCGCTATGGGACTGCCGCGGTAGCCGAAACATCCGCGCCCCACTAGCTCAAGAGATCTCCGATGTGTATCGATCCGGTTTCACCTTCGTCCTGTCCTCGTTTTACAACCCGCTGGATTAAAAAGTGGAGACCGTGGGGATCGAGAAAGACACGGTTGGCCTCCCGTTAGGCCACGGGGCCCCGGGACAATGTTGCAGTTGGTGCCGATATGGGAATTCCAGATGCATCTCTCACCTCTTTTTAATGTTGTAACGGTCGAGTGGGGTCAGCGTCTGAAAGTGCGATTCCGCCTGAGATTTCATCACAAAACTTTCCAGAGGCGATCTGAAAATTTGCCATGGCATCTGAAAGTGGCGAGTTCACGTGGGGGCTTCCTCATAAAAAAAATCAGATCCATCTTCATTTCGCTTGAGAGTGGCGATATCGCCTGAGAATTCCTCGCAGGGTATTTTCCTGCCGCTTTTCTCGCCGCCAAAGATTGGCGACTTCGTTTGGGCTGTCCTAACAACCGCGCGTCTCGTCCACCCCTGCGTCGCGGTTCCTCCGTTCGGGTTACGAGTTTGTTTGGGAGTCATCTTGGGATCGATCGAAGGTCGAAGCTTGAGGTTTTAGTGATTGACGAAGACCCACGGGTTGTTCCCTCGCGTAGTGCCGATCACCACTTTTTAACACAGGGGGTGGTAATATGGCATGTTGCACTTCCCACTCCACTGCTCGCTGAGGTGGGCGTCGTCGAGGAAGAGAGCGTTCTCGGCGCAGCCTTCGCGGACGCCGAGAACGATAAGGTGGGGTGTGGAGCGCCACGGGGAGTTTGGCTGCTGCGATGTTTCACTGCCACCGCACGGCATGCCCGCACCTCCATTCCTGGGCATCGCTCGGACGTGTGCATTTTTCCTTTCGGCGGGGACCATCGAGGAGCGTCCGTGATCATTTGGCGAAAAAAACACGCACAAAACCAAACAAAAAAAACACGGAATGGACGCCGAGCGATGGCCAGATTCGCGGTGCAAAAAATCACGGCGGGGGTGTTTTTTTTGTTCAGCCTTTCGAGGGCCCTTGCCGTGCTCGGAGGCCGTCGAAGGGACACGGCTGGACACGGAAAGTTGGTCCCGGAGAAAGGGCCGAGGGCCTCCCTCGGGGCCTAAGAGACGGGGGTCAGTGCAAACGGGGATCAGCCAGAGCGCCAGATCCTGCAGGATCCTGCGAAGACCCCTTCTAGCTGACCCGGGTTAGCGAGCCGCTCGTGGCCGCGAGGCGGCCGCACATATTGGCTGACCCGGGTTTGCGAAGACCTGCGTTGCAGTTTTTGTTTTCTTGCATTGCAGTTTTTGGTTTCCTGCTGACCCGGGTCTGGATTGACCCGAGTCAGAAGATCCCCGACTCCCGGGGTCCACGTTTTGCGCCAAGAATCATGGCATCGAAGGTCTTGGCTTAGATCGGGCACGTCCCTTACAGACGGAATATTCCAGAATAGTAAAAAAGTAGTCAGGGGACGATTTTTTCGTATTATTTTTTGGCTACTTGAGGGCATTTCCAAAATCGGCCTGTAGGGTGTGGGGGGAGGGGGGGGGGGCAGGCCCGGCTTAAGTCTTGGCGTGCGGCCAGTTGGTTCCTATATCGGGGAGGCGCAAGACTCGAGCAAGCCGGCAGTCGGGTGTGCCGACGCTTTTTGACGAGCGCGTCCTGGCCATTGTTGAGTATCGTTTGGTCATTTTTATTTTGCTCGTCCACAATCCGCCTGCAGGAGGACATGCCCGACCTAATGCAAGGCCTGACTCACCCGGGTCTGAGGATGGAACCGGGCCAGAATCGGGGAAACCTAAGACTCGAGTAAGCCGGAACTCGGGTTTGCCGACGTTTTTTGATGAGTGCGTCCTGGATTTTGACGGTCCAAATTTCATGGGATGTTTGCAGCGGGAGTTCGCGTCAAATTTCAGATTGGTCTCGTCGTTTGTATGATGACCCCGTCAGGCCAACCCGAGTCCCCCGCACCCGAGTTTTATGTCTCCCCGAATATACAGTGGAAGGAGGAGAGAGCTTTGCCGTACAGTGAAGGCCCGACCACAAGAGACCTTCCGCAAGAAAGCCAACCCTGAGACCCCAGGACGTCCTTTGATTTTTGGTGCGGGAGCGTCACGCCTTCGATGGCAAAGCCATCGACATCCAAGAAACCCAGGGCAGCCTGGAGGCAAGCAGGGTGCTCCTTGGCATGGGCTTCCACTGCACCCCGAGCCATCACAGACGCCGCCGGTGTTCTGGATGCCGTCGGCGGGCACTGCTGATCCTGCTGGTTCTCGGCAGGTCGTGCGGCGTCGCCGTGCTCGCGCCGAGTCGTGCCAGCGTCGGCACCCACCGCGCACATGCATGGGCAGGGCCCAAATATGGTGCACATCTCGAAGAGGAAGAAGCGCCATTACACCAGAGGAGAACCCTAATCGATCGATGGTTTGAATGAGTGGATCGATGAAGAGATCGATGAGGAGATCGACGGGGAACCCTAGGACCCAGAACCCACCGGAGTCGGTCCGGAACCTATAACCAGGAACCCAGGAGCCCGGGACCGGGAACCCGGGAACCAAATTTTGAAAACCCGCTAGGACCCCTTCAGTGCAAGCACTGGTTAGGGAATAAACAAAAACTTTTGGCGCTCCGCGCGGATTTCTTGGATCGGCGCTTGGGGCCCCCTGGCGGCCGGCGCTTCCGGCGCCGCCCCTGGCGCGCGTCGCATCCAAGAAATCCGCGCGGAGCTCCCAAAGTTTACGTTTATGGCGATTCTCTTCTTCTAACATCGGTGGTCGAAAGTGGGTATTGCTTGATTTCCTGATCCCTATCTACTCTAGTCTACTCTAGGCGCCTTCCTACTTCAAGAGTCGGACGGATTTTCCTCTTCTCTTCCTACCCCATGTTTCTACCTACTTGCGGATTTCCCGCGGGGCTCATTCGAGGGTGATCTGAGAGGTGTCGACGGATCGAAGGTGTGCGTTGGTGTTGGTGTGGCTCTCCGCTGCCACAATCCGCACAGATTCTCCTCCAGCATCCGGTGCTCTCCATCTGTTCCGTGCAGGCTCGTCAACCTTGAGCTTGGTGCAAACGCGCGCCCTCTGCAGGAACAGAGTCGGCTCTCGAGAGCCCCGTGGAACTTCAACCGCACGGTGCTGACATGCCTCACCTCGCCTGGTGCCCGTTTGCCCGTGACAAGAGTTCTGCCACACGCTCCAGCACGTGCTTCGAGCGCTCTTGCGCAGCCGCCGCTGGAGCCTGAGTGATGAGAACAGAATGGTATCTCAGTGCGGTTGTATCGTCGCGGTGCGATTCTATCGTCGCAGTGCGGTTGCATCGTCGCGGTTGTGTCGTCGCGTTGGCGCTTGAGTGACGAGAGCATGACGGTGTCTCAGTGTTGGGACCCTGGCGGGACTTGTCTCTCAGTGCGGTTGTATCGTCGCCACCGGCAGCAGCGATGGCGTCGCAGGCAGAACCAGAGGCAGAGCTGCGTCCTTCCGCGCCTCCCCTCGCCCGGCCGTGGGGCCGCGACATATCGCGCTCCGCACGCCGCGGCCTGGGTCGCGGCAGCTGCCCTCCTCCAGACGAGGGGGCGGCGCGAGGGCGCGAGGGCGCGAGGGGGCGCCGAGGTGGTCGCGCACCGCGGGGCGCGAGGGCGCGAGAAGCTGGGGGGCCTCATTGGCTCCCGCTTGTCCGGAGAAACGAGACCCGGGGCCGGGCGGCCGCTGCCGCGGCGGGGAGCCGCCGCGCCGGGGCCCACCAAAGAGTGTTCGAAGAACCTTTTGCCGTCTGCACGCAATGTTCTTAGCACACTTCTGGCTGGGACTGTCCCCTCTTGACACAGCGGGCTTCGGTTCTGAGAAGAGCGGTGTTGCTCTTATAGAACATGTCCGGGCTCGAAGCAAATTTTGGGGTAGGCCTGCAGGAATGCCGGGACGGTCGGTCCCTGCTCAACCGGGAGGTGTTCTGCACGAGCGAAATGGGCACGGAAAGCATGGGTACAAGGCCCAACGGCAGCTCCTGTTCATTTTGAGCAGGACTCGCTGTCCGCGCCGCCGCGGCCTGTGTCCATTCGGCACAGGAGGCCGCCTGCCCGACAGCGGCCGCTGCTGGTCTGGGCCAACTTTTGCTGCTGGGCACTGTACCCATTCTTCCCGTGCCCATTTCGGGCCTCCGAAGGTGTGCTTCTTCACCGAGACCTCCGTCGGCGTCTTCAGCGTGAGAGCGAGGCTCTGCCCGCCCCTGCCCGCGCGCACGGCCCCCCGGCCACCGCAGGCCCGCGTCGCGCCGGCGCGGGCGTTCCTGCGCTCCCCGCCGCGGGCGTTCCTGGCTGCGCGCCGCCGATGCGGCCCAGGAGGAGGAGGAGGAGGAGGAGGATCAGGAGCAGGAGGAGCAGGAGGAGCAGGAGGAGCAGGAGGAGCGGGAAGAGCAGGAGGAGCAGGAGGATCTAGGAGGATCAGGAGGATCTAGGCTTCCTAGATGGGGTCGGAGTAGATGGGGTCGGAGGATCGCGCTGCATCGCCGATGCATCGCCGATGAAGCTCGATGTGGAACCAGATTTTCTCCGTGCTGGCGTTGCCGATGCTTCGCCGATGCTTCGCCGATGCATCCCCGATGCTTCGCCGATGCATCGCCGATGCATCGCCAATGCACCGTCGATGAGGAGGATGCAGGAGGATGGAGGAGGAGGAGGAGGAGGGGGAGGAGGGAGGAGGAGGAGGGAGGAGGAGGGAGGAGGAGGGAGGAGGAGGAGGAGGAGGAGGAGGAGGAGGCCGAGAATTATGTGGAGCGGTCGGGCGATCGAGGGGCCGCCGCTCGTTCGGTGGTAGAGCGCGATCCGCGCGGCGTGGCGGCGCCAGCGCCAGGGTCGCCGCGGCACGAAACTGCCTCGTGCAGACCGGTATTGTGGCCCTGGCATCGCTCGGACGTGTGTATTTGTCCTTGGGCGAGGACCATCGAGGAGCATCCTGGATCATTTGGCGAAACAGCCACGCACGAAACTGGAAAAAGCACAGGGAATGGACGTCCGAGCGATGGCCAATGGCAGCACAGCCCCAGACGTGACATGGCGGCGCCCTGATGGTTTCCGTGCCCAATCCTCGGAGGGTCCGACCCTTTCCCCGGGCCCGATCTCTCCAGGCCCGAGCCGTTGTTCGACGCTTTCTTGGGGCCCGGCGAGGGCCCTCGGAGGCCGAACATTTTTTAGGAGGAGAAAATATACACAGACACAAATAATCGTCGATCCCCAGGAACATATGGGAAAGTAGGGCAAGTGGAGGAGAAGACGAACACCTCAAAGATATGGAAAATCCGGAAGGGTTCCGCCCCTTGCCGCGGGCCCCCTGTCTCGGATAATGGGAGATGCAAAAGCTAAATCATGAGGTCTGGGCGCCGCCGTGAAGCAGTGTCGGGACCTGTTTGTTTTTCGACCCTGACCCTACGGATCTGCGTGAGGGGTGCCGCCGAATTTCAGAAATGTGGCAAATCCCATGCGTTCTTGGACCCTGACCGTCAGATCTGCGTGAGGGCCGAATTTCAGAAATGTAGCACATCCCATGTGTTTTTAAACCCTGACCCTGCCGATCTGCGTAAGGGATGCCACTGAATTTCAGAATTGTAGCAAATCCCTTATGTTTTTGGACCCTGACCCTGCCGATCTGCGTGAGGGGTGCCAGCGAATTTTATGACCCCGCCGATCTGAGTGAGGGGTGCCACCGAATGTCAGAAATGTTGCAAATCCCTTATGTTTTTGACCCTGACCCTACGGAGCTGCGTGAGGGGTGCCAGCAAATTTTAGAAAAAGGCAAACCCCATGAGTTTTTGGACCCTGACCCCGCCGATCTGCGGGAGGGGTGCCAGCGAATTTTAGAAATGTGGCGCATCCCTTGTGTGTTTTGGACTCTGACCCCGCCGATCTGCGTGAGGGGTGTTAATTTTTGTCCACCCCAGCAATTCAGACAACACGCTCAGGGCGTGGTAAAAATACCGTTTTGGGCCTCCCCCCTTCGCGCGGTCCATGAATAAGGAACAGTAAGCAGCAAGAAGTCAACAAGGACCAGTAAGCAGCAAGAAGCAGAACTGTAACAGTGGAAACTGGAAGCTGCAACTGGTACAGGAAACTGCATACCTTCGGCCTACAGCCTGGTGGCCCCACAAGGGGGCCGGTGGATACACAGGATCTTGGGATTTGTGTGAACTTATTTGTGTGTCCCTGGGCCCCTTCAATTTCCACCACCACCCCTGTCGCGTTTTTCTTCACGGCGCGATCATGTCTGGAGTCGAGAACTGGCCAGGCCGACGGCGAAAAAACGAAGCTGCCCGAGACACTGGCGGGCCGCAGGCAGCCTCGAAGCTCTTGCAGCAGCAGTAGTAGCAGCAGCAACGACAGACCGGCCTCCTCCTCCTCCTCCTCCTGCTCCTCCTCCTCCTCCTCACCCTCTTCCTGTCCCTCCTCTCATCCTCCCCCTCCTCCCCCTCCTCCTCCTCCCCCTCCACCTCCCCCTCCTCCCCCTCCTCCTCCTCTTCCTCCCCCTCCTCCTGCTCCTCCTGCTCTTTCCTCCTTCATCCTCCTCCTCCTTCTCCTCCTCCTTCTCCTGCTCCTCCTCCCTCCTTCCTCCCTCCTTCCTCCTTCCTCCTCCCTCCTCCCTCTTCCCTCCTCCCTTCTCGCTCCTCCCTCCTCCCTCCCGGACCTGACAAGCGCAGCCGATTACGACGCAGCCGAGCCGACCGAACCTCGGAAGGCTTGGTCTCGGCCACGCGCAGACGGGGTTAAGTCGGGAGACTGGGGAAGGCTTCTTAGTAGCACCCCTGCTTCTTGGAAGGCGCGGGCCTCTTCTGCAGATGTGAAGGCCGGCGCCTTCTAAGGAGCAGCCTCCTTCAAAGGAGTTTTCCCCCTCTCGCTGCCCCCTTTTGTGCGCGCCGCCCATGGTCGGTTTTCATACTGAGTTGTTTTTGGCGGTCCTGGGTGGTGAGGCTTCGGATTGTGCGCAGGCAGCCCCGCCAGATACGTATCCCAGCTGGCCTTAAGTCGGGCGTGTCCCCTTACAGGAGGAGTATTCAGGAATAGTCAAAAAATAGTCTGGGGACGATTTTGTGAGGAATATTAAAAAATAGTCCCAAAATAGTCCAGGGACGATTTTGCTACTATCTTTGATTCGTTTGGAATATTTAAAGACTGTTTCATATGTTTCATCCAAGCTCCCCCCTTGTAGGGGGACATGCCCGACCCAAAGCTGGCCTCGGCAGGCCCCCGAGCAGTCCCAGCTGGCCTGACCAGGCCCCCCGAGTGGCCCTGGGCGGTCTCAACGCCCCGGCGCCCGCCTTTGCAGACGCCTCCAGACCGCTCGCGCCCCATCTGACGGCCGTCGTGCGGCTTCGATTCCCAAGCTGCAGAGTGTTCCTAGGCCTCCTACAGGGGGTCGGAGTAGATTCACCACCCACTGAACCACGCCAGCCCAACCCGAAGGCCTCAATCTGCCCCTCCACTTCCAGTAGGGGGGGTCGGGGAACATCGAGAAAACACATGGAACCCGTACCCCCCCCAATCCAGAATTCGGGTCAAACTCGGGTGTTCGGGTTGGGTTGGGGTGGTTTGGTAGGTAGTCATAGATGGGGCCGGAGGATCGCGACGCATCGCCGATGTATCGGCGATGCGGCTCGATGCGGAGCCCGATTTGCTCCACGTCGACGTTGCCGATGCATCGCCCACGTCGACGATATATCGCCGGTGCATCGCCGATGCATCGGCGATGTGGCGCGATCCTCCGACCCCATCTACTCGGACCGCATCTAGGAGGCCTCTAGTTTTGCGTCTCCCAGGGAGATAAGGCATACAATCGAGACGCCACAATAAGGACCACCGAGGGCTCAGGCGGTC